GGAGGGTGTGTGCCTCAGTAGTTTTCCCACAACGAAATGACAGAAGGCGTTGACTTGGAAGAAATTGACAGTTACGTCGATCTCGTGCCATGAGGCCAAGGATTGCACGTCGAAGGACTGCCGGTTGGCGCAAATTTCCGCAGCATCACTGGTACCTTCAGAAGTTTGTTGAGCTGGAACGAACGATCGTGCCTACCTCTTCTGTATCACTATGATATGAAGGCAGTGACGTGCGAATTCGAAGCCAAGTCATTCACGTAAACCGAAAAAGCAGACTGTGACGGAGGAAAGCAATGAAGCGAGGATGCTTGGCGCGTTCCCCTACGAACATAGAAGCAACCGAACTCTCCATCAGATGAACGGCGTGCAAGATATCATTACGACTACGTGAGAAAAGCAAAATTCGACTGGCAGGGCATGTTGCTCGTTTTGCTCATCGGATCGATTGACGTTGCGCATTAGTGAATGATACTTGCAATGGAAAGTAAACGACCACGTAAATGGGCAGCGTCCCTGCGTTTATGTATATATAAATATATATATTTTTATGCAAGTGGGGCGGTGGTTGTTGGTTCGGTGATTCATGTTTCAAGAGCAAGATGGGCAAGGGGGGAAAAGGCGGAGGGGAGAGAGGGAGAGGGGAGGGGAGGGGAGGGAGGGGCGAAGGTGAGAAGGGTCTTCCTTGTACCTCAGTGGTTTCCCCCTGCAGCGAGGTGCCCGGCAGTGTTGTTGACTTGGAAGAAGTTGACAATTTCGATCTTGGACAGATTGTTGATATGTGCCACAGTCGTGGGAAAGCCAATGAACTCAGTGCGGGACAGCTGCGCCAGGCCTATGGATACGCCGCAGTAAAAGGCATTCACCTTGCATTTCGTTCTCTTCAGGTCTTTAAAACGTTCAAAAAACGCTTGTAACGATCCTTGACTCACGCAGCGATGGGCAGGGAAGACAAGGCAACGTGGAAATCGAACTATTTCATCCGAATTGTGGAGTTGCTCGAGGAATATCCGAAGTGCTTCATCGTTGGTGTGGATAATGTTGGCTCGAAACAGATGCAGGAAATTCGCCAGGCGATGCGAGGTAGGGCCAGATTTTGTGGATTTTGCAGAACTT